TGCTTTCAGTTGCTTATATGATTTCAAGCTGAAAAATTCAAATGCATGTCAAAAAGACAACAAGTGTAGGTCAGCTGGCCAATTTAAGGGGTTTTTACTATGTTGAATCTGAAACTTGATTATGGATCATTGTTTATGATGATGATAGTCTGAATTCTTGTAAAGGGTTATTATTGAGAATACTTTGTTGTTTCATATTTTGTAAAAAGCCTGTGACAGTCAACATCATGTCCAAATGGAGCCATGTTCTCATGCTTTTCTGATAAAAGTAGAACTTCTTGTGATGCAGGCAGGATGCATCGCTAAAACAGAGTGTGAAGTTCAGTATGTAGTTAAAATCCATATGAAACAGGCCATGAAGGTGGAGTTGGTGGAAAAAGAAGGTGGCTTGTTTTCTTAAATGAGATGGATTGTATAAAAGCTGATTTTGTGATCCTGTCAGGTATGAAGCAATAGTGAAATAATTTGATATACCTTCAAATTTTTGTTTTCAAAACCTTATGGGAAGCTTCAATTTCATGCTCCACAGCGGGAGTTCTTGGCACAACTGCAATACTTTCAAATCACAAATGAGAGGATTAAAACTCTCAGAGTCACTTGGGTCTGGATTCAGCTGTAATGGAAATACTGTTGCTTATCTTGCTGGGAGCAGTGGACCTTTGCATGCTTATGGACTAGACAAAAAGCAACTGTCGAAGACACCTATTCAAGCACGGCCTGGGCCATCCATCTCTTCATCTTACACTTCTTCATTGGGTTTCACAATCCAGGTTCAATATTTTGCCATGCCGAGAAACTTAACTTGTGTTGATTCCACATTAGAATTTAGCTCTTGCCATGGCACTGGCCCTTCTACTGTCTTGCTGGCTTTCTATATGGAAAGAGAGAAAGAGAATCAGCTAAAAAAATACTGCAGGATGGTAGTGTCATGTGTTCTGGATGGGCATTTTTGGTTTCAATTCAACCATCTAAAATTTTTTTCCTTCATCTACTATTACAATAAATTGTGTACTGGCCACATCGTGATTCATACTCTTTTGACATGTCCATTCACTGGTAGCTTCAAGTTAGGCTGGTTGATTGGTTTGTGTTAGCAACTCATATTGATTTTGTCAAGGTAAGAGCTGCGTACGCATACCTGTAATTTAGACTCTTCTGAAACTGCCTTTTCTTTCTTCTTTATCTCCTCATTTCATTTATTCATTGTCCTTTTTTTTTTTTTTTGTGCATAGTGCTGTACTTCCTACTGCTTATCCCTACATGTTGTTTAAAGGGATTGTAACATATGGATGGCCAACTGGTTACTGGTTCTTTCGTGGCATTATAGATAAGCTGAAACATCTCATAGGTTCTAAGTCGAGCCAAGCAATGGTGCTCGTGCAATGGGACATGATAAGAGTGATGGGAAAATTATATTAGACAAGGAAACAGATAAAATTTGCTTCAGTCCACCCCATGACCCTTTGCTGGTGAGAAAAATTGAGGCCTTTCAAAAGATTACCAAGAAATTAGGTGGAATTCTCTTCATGTCCAAGTGCCTAAGCACATCAGTACATCTTCTAGGTGGGTGCAATGCATCATCAGATTTTTCAGATGGTGTTTGCAATCCAAATGGTCAGATTTTTGATCCAGAGGCCCCTGGTCTAGTGCACTAGAGCCTCTATGTTTGCGATGCTTCTTTAATTCCGTGCTCTGTTGGTGTAAACCCATCTCTTACCATTGCAGCAGCCGCTGAGCATGTAAGTAAGCACCTTGTGAAGGATACTCTCAGTTGTAAGAGTAAAAATTGTATAGATTTTGCTTCTAAAGTGGTTGACCAAAATCCATATACAGAAATACATGATAATTTGAAGAGCAGAGAGAAATCATATGTGTCTCTCAAAGAAATCATGAGGGGTTATGTAGGGGGGTATGCCATGTACAGTTTTTCTCAGAATAAGGATAAACTTGCAGAATGAGAACAGCTGTGATGATTGGAATTCGGTTATGAGAAAATCCTGTTCAACTTTAAAGGGGAAAGTTGGATGTTATGTTGTGTTCGGAGCCATTGAGAAGGATAAGTTGCATGTTATAGATGGGGAAATAGACATGCTTGAAGTAGATTACAAAACCCCTTACACACAATATATGCACTATCGCCTTCTCCTCGCTGCTGCTTCTGGTTCAAGGTACAATAAGGCATCCATTTGCATTCCTTTTAATTCTCTCTTCTTTCATTTTTTTTTTTTTCTAAAAAAATTTGTACCATTAATTAAATGCGGTTATTTTTGAGGGAAAGAAGATAATGAATCCTTATCTTTGTGCACTATATTGTTGGAGGGAGACAACAACATTGTATGTGACATTCAAAAAGCTTGATGGCAACTTTGCCTGGGAAGTAGGGTTGAACTTAAAAGGAGAGCTTAGAATTTCCACGATTGAATTGCTGAAAAGCATCGTTAGCCTTGAAGGAAACAGAAAAGGAAGATTTATTTATCTTTTCTCATTGAGTCTCCTTAGAACTTGTATTTTACAAATACCATAAGAAAGTCACAAAAAGTATACCCTGACAGATTCTTGCAACAATTCTTATCCTGCGAGCACTTTCTATGAAGTAAAAACAGGTAGGCAGGAATCCAAACTCGACGTTAAAGATACTTAGAATTTGCAACTGATTCTTGCTTGCAAGTGATGTGAATGAGGAAAAAGACTTTTTAACAGTGTCAGTTTTATATAAACAAAGGAAGAAAATATTTTGCACTGTAATTTGGAGAAGATTCAAAATTAATACACTGAATTCAGTATTTTTTGGTTGTTTGTTTTGTTTTATTATTAACAGGTTATAAGTTATAATTTTGATTACTTACTCTATATGATGCAGAAGATGGATATACCATCAACTGTAGGCAGTGGAACTGCAGTCAAAGTGGATGGAAATTCAAGGAAGAAAAGCACCTGGTTCTTCTACTTAATGGACATTCCACTGAGAGTTTGTCTGCCAACAGAACCAAATGAATTGATCAGGACTTTACTGGCAGAATGGCATGAAATGTGGTTACTGCAATCAAGAGTTCATGTATCGAATCCCTCAAACAACTTCACTATTGAAGATATTGGAAGATATGATATACCTGCTGGTAAAAAAATTACAAAAAGCTGTAGATGAGATCAGATACTCATAGATCTAATTGATTTCTGAGTGATAACATTTTTCTTCTACTTTTCTTTTGTAGTAATGGACAAGATCTGTGAATTCCATGGTCCAAGCATGAAGGTACATGTAGTTGCACACTGTGTTGGAGGCTTGTCCATTCACATAGCTCTCATGGGAGGGCATATCTCTGCAAATCAAATTGCTTCTTTATGTTGCACCAACTCTTCGATGTTCTTCAAGCTTACTACTTTGGCCACGGTCAAAATGTGGCTTCCCTTGGTTCCCGTAAGTTTTCCTCTTAATGAAAAAGTATATATGGTTTGGTACAAATAAATGTCAACTTGATCTTGCTTGGGCCTTATACTTTCATCTAACTCCGGTCAACCTGCAGATGTCAATGGCTTTGCTGGGCAAGAACAAAATCCTGCCTCTGTTAGAGACATCAAAGGCCAGTTTGGGGCATCGGCTCCTAATGTGTATAGCCCGTTGGCTACCTCGCTATGAGAGATGCACTTGCAGTGAATGTGAGGTCTTTTCTGGAGTATTCGGCAATGCATTCTGGCATCAAAACATAACCCCCACAATGCATCTCTGGTTAAAGAAGCAAAGCACAACAAAGCTTCCCATGGCAGCCTTTCCTCACCTCAGGAAAATCTGCAAGTCTAGATTCATTGCGGATAGCAAGGGAAATAACTCATATTTGATTCATCCAGAGAGAATGGCCCTCTCAACGCTATATATCTCCGGTGGACGAAGTATTCTTGTGACTCCAGAAACTTCTTTTTTAGCTAACAAGTATATGAAGTTGCACCAACCTGGTTTTAGACATGAAAGGGTTGTTGTCAATGGTTTTGGGTACTCAGATTTACTGATTGGTGAAGAGTCTCCCAAAGAAGTTTTCCCCCACATAACGTTATCTGAAGAAGGGAAAAATATTGTGATGATTCCCAAGGAAAAGAAAGGCAGCAAAGATGCCTTGGATTGGGCTACTGATCCTTACCAAGGATATGGAGGATCTGAAAGTTGTTGGTTTTCACCTTTGGTGGTCGTTTTCTTGGTTTTAGTTTTAGTTTTTATGTTGTTATCATCATTCATATGATTTTTCCACTACCATAACAAGGAATTTTGCTGTTTGATTAGGAAAAGAAAGAGGTGTTTATTATTTTGAAGTTCAGTAAATCTTTTTTTGGAATCTTTCATGTTGAATAAAACAAATTCATTTTTTTAATAAAAAAAGGAATAGATCAAAATTTTTATAGATTTTCGTGAACTCAATAGTAATCATTGAGCTTTTAGAATCCAGAGACTAATTGTCAGTTCCAATTTAGGTGATGTGCCCAACTTGTCTGTGAATGAAACTTATTGACTCGATTACTCTTGATGGTCATTAAGATCTTGCATATATACCATGATATATATGTTATATCGTAATAAGAAGACAGTTTGGCCGAGTGGTCTAAGGCGCCAGATTTAGGCTCTGGTCCGAAAGGGCGTGGGTTCAAATCCCACAGCTGTCATGTTTTTTCTTTTATTGATCTGAGCAAGACATGCTAGAGAGGTTCCAAAATGGCTTGACTCATTAGAAACAAACAAGTAATCTCTTAACTCGCTTCCTTAACTTACCAGTTCCCTCCTGACTCATCCCCATTCCCCACTCCAAGCCCTAGCTTTATTGGAGATGTCGTATTGCGCTTTGTTGGAGCGCCCTCCGAAAGGACTGGAGATAGCAATTGCACGTGCTGATAATAGTGACCCATGGGACACACACGCACGCCAATTTGACTCGAAAGGACGTATTTACCCTTGAGTCAATGCCTTACCTCTCAATGGCCTTTTCGTCATTTAAAGTTAGGGTTATCAAAACCCTAACTATAAAATGGTAGTAACTGATATATATCAGCTTCTCTTCGATAGCTAGAGTCGTCATCAGCAAAAGCGCTCTCAAGCAACCCTAGTTTCACGTTCTCTCTCGGTCTTCCTGAAGCGATGGTAAGTCTCTCTTTGCAAATATTTCGATCTCGATGTTCAGCTAAATCGTTTGGTAGCAGAGAAAATAGTGTAGGATTTGGGTATAGAAAATAGAAATAAAAAGACTGGAATTTTACTAGTGCTTTATCTTAGTCTGGAAATGGGAAAATTCAAATTGAAATAATTTACTAACTAGATTAGATTTAACCTTGTATTCTCTGTCGCTGGTGTTTTTTTGAGATCCAATTGGAGCCATGGGGGCTTTTTCAGTTTTGCTATTATGAGGACAGATTTATTGATTGACTTAGGTGTAAATAGGATGTCTGACGTTTTCGTTGATTTGTGTTATTTTGTAGTCAAGGAGAAAGGTTAGGGAGCCCAAGGAGGAGAATACTAACCTTGGACCTGCTGTGCGAGAGGGCGAGCATGTGTTTGGGGTGGCTCACATATTTGCTTCATTTAACGACACATTTATCGTAAGTGATAACCTCTTCTGTTTACATTGAATTTTTTTTTCTGGTACTTCATTCCGTTTGAAATGCTATCATTGAATTTGCAGCATGTGACTGATTTGTCAGGAAGGGAAACAATGGTTCGCATTACTGGTATGGTTTTTGACTGTCTGTAGAAAATGGTTTCTTTTTCTATCTTGGGCTTTTGGTGTTATTGCCATCTCTAGATTTTTAAAGTCGTTTTAGGTGGTTTTTAATACTTCAACCATCTAACTCTGAAGTTGGATTTTTCAAAGGAAGCTGACTAGTATTTCAAGAGCCATATGTAACTTTATAATAGAAAATGTTAATTAAACATTGCAACATGTGTTGATATTTATGTCCCAGCTCGGAGTTATTTCTATGAAGAGTATTTTTCTAACTTATTCCTTGCATTTTCCAAATGTAGGTGGTATGAAGGTGAAAGCTGATAGGGATGAGTCTTCCCCTTATGCAGCCATGCTTGCGGCACAAGATGTTGCTCAACGCTGCAAGGTCTTATAGCTTACAGTCTGAATTGTCATGCAATACATATTTATATGTAGTGAACTTATGCCTATTATTGTCCAAAAAAAAACTTTCTCTTTTTCATGTTTGTTATCTGCAGGAGTTGGGTATTACTGCCCTTCATATAAAGCTACGAGCTACTGGAGGGAACAAGACCAAGACACCCGGTCCTGGTGCCCAATCAGCGCTTAGAGCTCTTGCTCGTTCAGGCATGAAAATTGGCCGCATAGGTACAATTCTTTCATATTATTTCTCACAGTTTTATTATGTCCATTCACGTCAACTCTTGTAAACTTGACATGTAACCTTCCTTTCGCCTCAGAGGATGTTACCCCCATTCCCACTGACAGTACCCGTAGAAAGGGTGGCAGACGCGGAAGAAGGCTGTGATTCTTTGCATCATTTCTATTACTCAGCTGCTGCTTGCTATGCTTGGAGTTCTCTTTCATGTTTAAACAATTTTCTGTTTAGATTAAAGGTTGTTGCCCTGTTCCTCTAGTTACACATTTGTAGTTCCAGAATGGATTTTGATCTTAATTGACAGAGACAAAAGTTGTGCAACTCTTTAATCCACCTTTGAAGATAAGCTTGTATTGTTCTTGGTAAGCTTGTATTGTTCTTGGTTTTCCTTGAGGAGTTATATTGTGGTTATGGCAGATAAGAACTTCCCGCTTTTGTTTGATGGCTGTGGGGTGCCAGTCTTGAGATAAAATGCTTGCCCATGTCATAGTTTTTCAGCCCTTGATGTTCCCCTGAACTTCGGGGCAATAGGGCATCAGTATTATTGGCAGCTTTAATTGACTTTGTAGCTAATGCATCGTCCTTTAGTATGAATTTTTCTTGCCATCGATATTGGTGGTGGATTTCATTGAAAGCAATAGATTTTAATTTCGGAGCTAGAGAATGTGAAATTCGTTTAGCCTGATTGACAAATTAAGAGGGTCAGGCTTATTTCAAATAAACAAATGAATATTTATATTCTTTATTGTGTCACTTTGGGCTTAAATTGAATCACAGAATTTTCTGTAATTAAAAAAAAAGCATGGTTTCTCCATTTTAATTTCATGTTGAAAATAGCAAATCCAGATATTTGACCTAATAACGGTAAGACCATGACTCTCGTGGTCGAGAGCAGCGATACCAGTGACAATGTCAAAGCCAAGATCCAAGACAAGGAAGGTAACTTTCCCCCTTGCTCTTCCTTACCAAATTTTCATCTGATTTCATCTTAAAATCACAAATTGACGTAAGAAAGTTTTGACTTTGATGAACTAACAGGAATCCCACCGGACCAACAACGTCTCATCTTCGCTGGAAAACAGCTTGAAGATGGCCGTACCTTGGCTGACTACAATATTCAGAAAGGTTTCTCTTTTGGGTTTCTTTTTTTAAATAATATCTTTGTTCTTGATTTGATTAAGATAGTTAACTGAGATTTTCGTTTCTGGGTTTTTTCCTTTCGATGTAGAATCAACGCTTCATCTTGTTTTGAGGTTAGTGGAATTATTGAGCCTTCATTGATGACTTTGGCTCGCAAATACAACAAAGACTAAATGATTAGTAATAAGTGTGGAGATTCACATCCAACTTATAAAGTATTATTCATTTTGATTATAATGTCTCATAATTTTATCTCATAAAAAACGTTTCACAAGTTTGGGATTAAGTCTCTACATATATATAATTTATTGTTCATACATTTTTTCGATGTAAGATTGGGGGCGTTATAATAAATTCTTCAAAAAATCTTTATGTCACGCTCCGAAATCAAGACACAACACAGTCATATTATCTTGAAGTAAACCTCAAAGTAATACGAAGTTTTTTTTCTTAACAATTCTAAAATTCTTCAATAAAACAATATATTAAGCAAAATTTGTATCTTTAATCCAACTGATGATATATTTTATACATCCAAATACAAATTATATAAAATACAAAAATATCTCATAAGATTTCATTGGCCAACATTTTCTCCAATGACTAAGTAATTTTTTTCATTTCATCTTCTAATTTCTCACAAGACTAACCAAACTTATCACTTATTCATTTGTAAAAAAATAATAATAATAAAAGAGAATGAGCAAACCATAACTCAGTAAATATAGGCTCATACACTTTATCGAATCAAACATTATTTTCATATATATCATATAGATCATTCAAAAACATTTCAAGATCATTATTTCATCAAACATTTCGTAAATTCATAAATCAATATCAAAACATGTCAATTCATTAATTATAAATCACAAAACATGATCAAATACATATTTCATATACATCATGGATCAATGTTTAAAATCATCATAAATCATCATTATTATTCTTTTATCATTAGTTACGATCACTGCTATAACCCGTGACATTGATCGTATCGATAATTTCATCCTCATGATCATTGCTAACTATTATAATCCGTTAACTAAGGCCTTATGCTAACTACTATTACCTATTAGTCAGGATCGTAGAACTAGTTCTAATGTTGATGATCTCACTTCTTAGGGACGTAAAAACGTAGCTATCATAAAATCGCTATTTAAACGTAAATCATTTTCTCATTTCATTCGTAAGTATGATCCATCATTTACATAGTAAAAACATAAAATAATTATATGCTTGATTCTATTTTCATACATCGAAAATAATAAAGTAAAACATTCATTTAGAAACATACATATAGACATAGATTTAAAAACAAACAAAATGTGTGAGATTCTACTTACTTCCTTCTGATTCCACCACCTAATTTTTTTCCTAAATAATTAATGGCTTATTCAAGATCATTTCAACACATTAGAATTTAATCAACCCTTTTTGAGATCATTTATACAAAAATCGATTAAGTTACACAAGGGTTAACTCAACTAATTAATACTGGTAGCCTAACCTCTTTTCATTAAAACAATCATATCTCAATATATCCAAATCGAAATTAAGATCTCTTTAAGCGTTAGAAACTAGACTTGATAAGCCTTCTAACCATATATGGCCTACCTCATAATTCCTTGTAGATTAATTATAAAAATTTTTGCAATCCACGTCAGATGCTACTACTAGGCAGCCTGTATACCTTCTATAAAAAATATGTATTTATTCATAAGGAACTCCAAATTCAATTCTACTTATTTCATTAGAAAGTAGACTCAATAAGCTTTCCAAACATATATGGATTAACCTATAAATCCTTGTATAAAAATTAAGACAATTTTTGTAATTCAACCCTGATGTTGCTACCTTATAGTTTGTATATCCTTAAGTAAAAATTAGACAACTCTCCATAGAAAACTTGGATTTGACTTTCATTTGTTTCATTAAAAAGTAGATTCAACAAGCTTTCCAACGATATATAATAATCACAGCAATAATCTATCCATTAATACAAAATTCTATTTTAATTCATTATTACATATTACAACATCTAATCCAAAAATAGAAATTTTCTTTTAATCTTTAAAAAAACTCAAATCTCTACTTTCAGCCTTTAAACTCCATTCAATAATCATCAATAAATATTAAGAACATGAAATAAACAAAGCCCAGTAATTTACCTAAATAGATCATGAAGATTAATGAAAGTTTTATAATTTTTTTTGGTTTTGCTCTCAAAACTTCAACTTCAAATAATAGCAATCAATTTGATTTTTTTCTTAAATAAAAAGGGCAATACTCACATTTAGGGGATTAACTTGATTGTATCCTATGATTTTGAATCGTCAACTTGATTTTTCATATTCTCTAACCCTAAGGAAGATAAAAAAAAAACTCACATTTCTTTTCTAGTTCTCGATAGCTAGGTTTTCTTTCATTTAATAACTCAGTCCTTTTTTCTTTTACTAATTAGTCTCTTAATAAATTGATGGGCTTTGGTATTAGTCTAGCCCAATTATTATTTGGGCTGGAGTATCACATTCTCCCCTCCTTATAAAAAGTTTCATCCTCGAAACTTGATTTACATCCACATCTCATTCCTCTATTTTTGTAATCATATCTCTTACCGTATGATTGTTTCATTAAACTTTGACAAAAGTAATAATTTTACCTCAAAACTTGTTCTTTCCAATCAACCATTAGAAAAAGATATTTTCAATATGTTAAAAATCATATCATCTTAAATTTCTAAATACTCATATCCAATCACATAACTTCTACTAAGATATTCTTTTAACATTGATTCATCATGTACACTAGACATCAAAGGTGATAGTATTCTTTATTTTGAACTTCTTTCACTTTACCAAGAACGTCAAATATCCTTACATAACACAAACTTAACTTTTTTTACTTTATAATCCTCGTAATGAGTTTAAATGATTAACCGCTTGAAGCTATAAATTTTATCTCCAAATTCTGATATAACTCTTTTGCTTACTTTAAACCATTGCTTAATCAACCAAAATTTATCAGCCATTTGTTTCATAAATTCAAGAAACAAAAGTTTTTTCTTACTCATTTTTATCCCAATAAGTTTAAGATTTAGATCTATTTTCATACAAAACTTCAAAATGAATCATTGAATGTTTATCTTATAACTATTGCTACATAAAAAAAATTTTTTTTTCTCTTCAAGTCACAAGATAAGCACTGCTTGAAAGAATGTCCATCAACAATAAAGCTCTAAAACTAGAAGGAACACAAAATATTCTTATCCCAAAATCTGTTAGTCCTTATTTATTAAAGATTAATCACTTTCTCAACTAATAATAGCATAACAATTTAAAACTTAAATCAAATCAGGTTTCCACTACGCACTCTGATATTTTCTTTCAATAAATTCAAACAAATTAACTTTTATAACATTATTTTGTAACAAGAAAAGCATGTGTCCACAAAATTCCTTGTAATCTGCTTCACACCACGTGTTCATAATAATAACAATCTTGAATAACAATATCAACAAATCATTTGTCACCAAAAATATATCATATAGTACTTTAATTTTCTTTTCTTCTCCACCAATAATATGAAATTTTTTATCAATTAACCGTTATAAAACATATGAAATTGATGCAATAGATCATATTCATAAATTTACACCATATAAATTCAAACATAAATATCTAGTTATCAAAGTTGTCTCCAATTTTAAATATTTTTTTTCTGATTTAATAGACCAATTATCATATAAGAATTGATTCTTCGTAATCCCCAAAAACATCATAATGTCTCAAATTTTCTTTTACCAAATTTATTGCTATGATCTTTAAGTCATAGTCAAAACCTATGCATCGTAATCCATAAGTAAAATTCTCTTATAGAATTTAAACAATAAAAAACTTCAAATACTTGAATTCACACCAAAAGTATAATTATGAACAATAGCCAAATGCATCACATTATTTCAAAAGTTTTTTTTTTCAAACTTCTCTAAAATCGAATACATGCTCAGCATCACCAAATACACAAAATCATCACTTGTAAGATTTTAACCAATATTTTGCCCTTGTAAGATTTTAAACAATCATTCTTAGCCAAAACATATATATTTTTTTATAAATCGATTACTCCTTCAAAACCAACTTCCTTACTAAATTATCTAGATAACCACAACTTTAATTTTTATTCACAAATTTAATTCATTGCTAAGTACACAGCCTTGTACCACAATAGACAATGTTCTCCATAAATATAAAATTCAAAGAAATCCAATAGTATACTTCAATTAGAAACTATAACCACAAATTAATCACTTTAACCATTAAAAAAAAAAATCAGTACAACCCAAATAAGAATTTAATGAACAAACTTCAAATTAGTTATACAAATGTCCAACTCAAATCTTAAATACTTTCTCAATAAAAATGTAGAACCAAATCAAGTGAATATCCTCATTTACGAATATTAAACTATTTACCGTAATTATAACATTTCAAACTAAATCCATCAAAATAAATTCTCAAACATTATAATCCATAAATAATTACTTCAAAATTTCAACATATCATTTCATTCCAACTCCAATATTCTGTACTTTTAATTCCAACAATATACACTCATATTCCAATCTTAATCCATTATCAAGGATTTACTTAACACTTATCAAATAATTTCAAAATCTCATTAAGTCGAAAGTCTTTTCTCAAACTCATAAGATCTCCAATGATCAAATCGTTCTCCTAAATAATCATTTAACTCATAAAATATGTTTCATTATAAGTCACATCAAAAATCTCTTCAACTTATAAAATCGCACTATATCAAAGTAATTACACTTTTTCTTAACTACAAGATCTAAAAGTAAAATAAATATCAACCAAAATAATTACACCAAGAATTCATTAAATCATTGATTCTTCAAAATTCATTGAAACTTTAACTATTCTAAAAATTCATTGCATCATTTACTTATACTCACCATTATAGTC